AACTATTCTTCTCTCTCTCATTCATTGTTTTTTTTCTTAGTCTAATTTTCTGCAGTATTTTAATGCATTTTTTCTAATCTACAACCTTTTTTCATTTTATTGGTCCATCTAATATCATTTGTCATGCTTCCCCTTAGTTTAATTCCACACATACCTCTGGCACTATATAACATCATTTCAATCTATCCCAAGCGGTTTCCACATTCTCTTTTTTTACATTTTCCATTCCTGTGTCATTGAGAGCTTAATCTATCTTTTAATACTTTTCCACAAAGGATTTAATTTTTCTCTTCTTGTAGTTGCTCTACCCTCATTCTAGATTCTTTCATTTCTTTATTTTATTCTATGTTCAATCCCCCCCCAAAAGATGTTCTCCTGGGAGTATTAAAAAGTGTTACTTTCCATATGCAGAACTCTCATCATTCTTGTATCCTTTATTAATTTTCTTAATATTCATAATAAACAATTGTTCCTGTCTCCTAACAGTCAGTTTCCCAACACTGATATCACATCCATATTGACTATTGCACAATTTCCTTCATATTCATTCCTAATCTTTCTACTATTACTATTTTTTGGAATGTAGCATACAACTATCACAAACCTTTGAATTCCTACTTTGTACATTGTCACAACAATCTAGAAGGCACCAATTCTTACTTTCCACCAACTCTTTCATTCATAACTGAGCCTACATCTTCATTTTCTTGCATGTATTCATCAGCGCCTCTGTTCAGGATCCAACCATCTCCATTAAAATCTATTTGTTTTTCTCCTTTCTCTTGGATTTCCAAATACATAACATATCTGTTTTTTTCTTTCATTTCATTGTTAATTCCTGGTTTTTACTACCTATTCCCTTCCATTCCAAGTCACAATCTTCCACTTCATGGTCATCACCATATGGGTTCACACATGTTGATTTGTGTTGTTTATGACTTTGGTCACCAAACTACCAGTTTTTATAATACCCTTGCCACCTGGAACATGGTCTGCTAATAGTAAAGACAGTGTCCATCAATTGTAATGGACTTTGTTCAGTATATTACAAATGCAGCAAAACCTAGTTTTATCCCAAGTATGCTTAGCCAATTCAGTGCAAACTAAGTTCTCTGCTTTAGAGAGTACCTTGCAAGCCAACATATTGTTGCATTCATCCTATCAACAAGGAGGTCTTTGAAGTAAACCAATACATAATGCACCTCTCTCTGTCATCATTTTTACTTATATAAATAACTCTAGACATTAAATGGGCCAACTAGGCATTCATAACAAAATACAAATGATGATACTCACAGTCTAGTGATTTGTTTGACGCAGTGGTTATTTGCTTGAAAAAAAAAGACAAAAGGAAGCAGGGGACTGATTCTGGGACACATTAGAGGAGCTTTTGGAGAATCAACTCAACCCTCTTATGTTTTTTTATTTATTTGTTCTTTCAGTGGGTAGCTATGCTCAATTGCAGCAGTCTTTTTGTGTGTCAACTTTCCAAATACTCCTATCAGCTGCAAAAAGGTTGCTTATCCTTTTCCTGAACCAATGAAATCAACATTTTTGTAATTCAATATTAGGGATTATGGTACATAGAATCTTATCTATTCTTATTTGAGAGTAAGCTATAATATCTTCCTTAGTAAACATGGATAGGATTGGTCAAATTCGTTAAATTAAAACAAAAATGGCATGCTTGATAAATGCTTACAATTTCATACTCTTTTTATAGGGTTAGTATAGTCCCTGTATCTATACATTAAATACTGCCACGGTAGAAAGGATTTTTATTTTGGCAAGCTCTGTTTTAATGGCAGGAGACAATATAAGAAAAAGAGTTGCCTACTTCATGTCCTTTCAGCCATGAGCAATGAGCTAAAATACCTCTTTGAGGTTAGACATATAAGGAGACAGGATATCTAGCACAACACATATTTTTCTTCCAGAAAAGAAGCTCAAGAATGATGTACACATTACATCTTCTTCAGAGAAGAAATGAGCATTAATTATCACAAGGTATAAAGCAAAACTTTTACCAAATGAAGGAACAGAAAAATGTCCAGAGTAGGCTTCTTTCCAAACAAATGATATGGTCGCTGTTTTTATTTATTTTAGTTAGAAAACATGATAAGGAAAACAAATACATTTGTTCTTGTCATAGGTTCAAAAATGCAATTTGTCAAGAACTATCCCTGTCATTTGACAGAGTAAGGCAGTTGCCAAGCAATGGGAAGATGTCTGAATTTATACAAGCAGCTATTTTCACACATGTTTTACTCACTGGCTATACTGAGCCATTTTCTGAGTATGTAGAATACATTGAATCATAAACAAACCCAAAGACCTCGGTTTGAACAGCATAGTAAGCTCAAAAAACAAAGAGCAATCTAATCTTTATATAAAGGCAATTTAAAAATCTTTAACTGACCAAGTAAGCATATTTTTTGAACACAGTCCTACTTGCCCTTCTTTTTACACCAGTCTATTATTCAAAATTGTATTGGACTGCTGAAGTATGGTTTAAAACAAAATGTTATCTTAAACATTTGTATGTCCACCCATCTTCTAGACCAGTGTTTTTCAACCATGGAAACTTTAAGCTGTGTGGACTTCAACTCCCAAAGTTGCCAAATTTTAGAAACACTGTTATGGACAGTTTTTGTATGTGAAATGAGAGGCATCATCCTGATCTTTACTTCAGGCTGGCCTTTTTTCAGCCAATGCTACCAAAAAAAAAAAAAAAAAAAAGATTTCATAATAAAATTTATTAAGTTATTTTATTAAGTCCATTTTGCAGCCATATTGTTGTGTTTAAATAGGCAAAATTTTACTATTTCCTGCATGAAAAGCTACATGGCTGATATATTTATTTTTTATTTCTTTCATTTTAAACTTTTGTGTGTCCACCTATCTTAAAACACAACTCTGGGCAGCTTACAATATTTCCTGTAGTGGCCTCACTCTTTACCTGTAGCAACATTGCCGAGTACCAAAGGATTGAGGGCTTGCAATCATTGTCCTTATATATAAAAAAAGAAAATGGGTGTTACCACCAGTTACAGACTGATCAGCCTCCTCAACTCAATCAACAAACTCTATTGAGATACCTACAATGGAAATTCTAGGACTAGCTAGAACAAGAAAACATACTTACAGAAGAGAAAGCCATATTTAGGGAAGAAGAATTCACCATTGACTAGTGCTTAGTGTTCGAACTTCTCTTCAGAAAATACTCCTCCTACAACACGACCTGCCTTTATGTTGCTCTCATAGACTTCAAAGCATTTTTGATTCCATACCTTGAGCTAATATATGGGGGAAAACTGGAGACCTCTTTGACTGACTGAAATTCATCTAATATGTATGCTTCATGAAGGGACATCATTCAAAATATGATGTATCCCTCAGGCCATCTCACTAGTGAACCTGGAACAGAAGAAGCTATAAAGCAAGGCTGCATATTGGCCCCACTCCCATTCAATTTCTATATGAACTTCATGGTGAACCATCTCCTTGACACAAACTTTCATTCCCCAAAACCAGCTGTAAGACACATCTGTTTTATTCAATGCAGATAATGCAGCAATACTCTCCTATTGGAGTTAAAACAACACTGAGAGCACTAACATAGCATTGTAAGGAAGACCAGCTAGAAGTCATCAGAAAACAAAAATCATGGCATTTGCCAAAAGACCCGAGAACCAATTCTGGGGGATAGATGGACAGAAGACTGAGAAGGTCTCCTTTTCAAATATCTGGGAGTAGACCAACATTCTGCCAACAATAGGAAACCCCATGAAAACACAGAGAGAAGCTCATCTGCCATCCTCAAATTCCTCAAAAGAAGAGGTGGCCACTACATTCCTGAAGCACTTCTGCAATATTCAAAGTCAAGTCAATAGCACAATTTCCCTGTGGAGCCCAGCTGGGCCAATTTTGCCTCATTAGAATTTGTCAGCTCCAAGTTTCTAATATTGTCTCTTCACTGTGTCTCTTCAATGCTCCCCTGAGATTAGAGACAGGCCTCGTGAAAGTATGGGCAAGTGACCATACTCAACTGCTGGCTCAGACTATCCTCTCCCCCACCCCCACCCCGAGCTTTGCCCCACCAATTGTGAGGGATGATTTTCAGTCCACATTAAAAAAAAGATAGTGACAACTACATTTTCATCCTTGGGCTTCTCCCTAGGTCTTCAGCATGGGATACAATCAAGTCAAAGCACTCATTAAACAGCATGAGGCAGACACAGAATAGCAATTAGACCTAACTAGGTTCCCAATCTTTATTGCCGGTTAACCTAACAAACACCCTGCCTCCCCAATGGCATACTTAACTGGCTTTGAAATGCCTAAACAATTGTAAGGCTTTTACTCTGGCACAAGTCATGCCTTCTCCTCAGCTGTCCTTGAAGGCCAATACAGGAAGGAGGGGAGGGAAGAGACAATGCCCCCGTGGCTTTGGACAAATAGAAACAACAGAATGTGTACTTCTCTAGTGTTTGTAGTATACAGACATTTATAGTGGTCTCATCTCACCATTATTGCATAAATATTCAGGGTGCACAGGACAATTTTACACTCCCCTGCTGTTTTCAGACATCAACCCTGCTATAACATACCATGTTGCCAGGTTGTGCACAGCAGTGCTTAAAATCCATCAGAAACAACTTGAGCCATAAACCTGTTTTAATGAGCACCTAGCTTGTTATTTTAGAGTGATTTGTATTGTTATGGATTTAATTTGCCACACATCTTTACACCCATCCATTATTCCTGCTTTTAGATTCTTTTAAAATTTCCTTTTAGATTGTTGTTTTTATATTTCTTACGTTTTGATATGTAATTTTTTATTCTGATTTATCTTTTATGCTTTTCAGTTCTTTATAGCCCATCTTTCTTTTGCTGGTCTTATGTAATAAAAGTTCAATTTGATTGATATATTCTGTCAACAATGTGGTTTTTTTTTTTTTTTTTTTTTAAAGATACCTTTTATCTTTGTGTGCCTTTAGAAATCCCTCCTCCACAGGCTGATCTTTCTGGCTAAGATCTCACCAGACCTGGCTGATAAAAGGTATTTGGCCGGTAAGTAAAAATTCTCCCTACTGTTTTCTTCAAGAACATTTTGAAATCATTGTCAGAATGTTTTAGAATGAAATGGGTTGGTTTAATAAATACATTCTGAGCTTCTGAAAGAACAACAGCTGGCTTGAATGGTTCTTCAAATACACAAAACTCATCCAAACTCTGGATGAGTGCAGGGCAGTGTAGGGCAGAGGAAGCTTCCAACAAATAGCACCAAGAATATTTTTTTCCCCTGTAGAATACGGCCTAGCTCAGACCTTGTTTTGTGTAGTTATACCTCACCTTTATTATTTTTATAAATAACTCAGGATGGCAAGTATAGCTAATCCTCCCCCCTCCTATTTTCTCCACAACAACCCTGTGAGGTAGGTTGGGCTGAGGGAGACTGACTAGCTCAAGGTCACCTTGCTGGATTTCACAACTAAAGTGGTACTAGAACTCATAGTCTTCTAGTTTTTAGACCAGCACCTCAACCACCAGACTAAAGTGGGGCCTAAATTAACCAACTGATGACCAGATATCAGCTGTCTTTAAAAGTGCAGCATTTTCTGTTTCTTGATCTTTTTTGCTGCTCTACTTGTGTTTATGCACCCTCCTCTCCCTTGCTGTTTTTAAAAGTAAACACTGAGTTTTATTTGGATAAGGGGGACAGAAGTCTATAATGCTATAGCATCGCCAGACAGACTCATTATTTTGTGAAGCAATTTGTGCTTACCTCATTTCTCCTCAGAGTACTGGGAACAACTATTTCTGAATCTGCAACGCCAGTATTGTCAGGGAGTAGGGATCACAGGCCTCTTGCTTCTCTATCCTACCTACATTATACACATACTAGAGGTAAGCTCACATCTCTCTCTCTCTCTCTCTCCCTGTGTGTGTGTGTGTATATCTAGTGAATGCATAAAATAAGTGATGTTTCTAACATGAGAATTTTGTGGGAATGCCATTCACGTTCATGAACAGTTTGAAAAGCCATTTATAGCTTTTTCAATACTCCCTTTTATCTCCACTGTTATTCAAGAAACCCCAAGTGGCAAGATGGTGCCATTGAGCTTTCTTGCAGCGAGAACATCTAAACTGGAGTAATGAAGGGAAACATTTCAAGTGAAACTAGCAACTGCCACCATTTTTCCTCTGCAGATAAATGCCATAGACTGTGAGAATAACCTTGAAGAATAGGAAAAAAAAGAGTCCTGAAGACAATGATCAGCTAAGAGAAATCTAAATCCAAAGCAAGAATATAATTTGAGAAAGAGTTTCAGACTTGGCCCTATTTGCTTTCTTGAAAATAAAGGCAGGGAGAGGAGAAGTATATATAGAGTCTGTCACTGGAATCTTTAATAAAAGTAGTTTTAGCAACCATAACTTTAACCCTTTGGTTAAATGTCTGTGGAGATTCTCAATCATCCAAGTCATGGTTGTCCCAAAGATGCTTTTTCCAAAAGGCAATTGGACTTTCTTGGGTTTTTTTCTTTGATAAAGTTTTGTATCTCATCCAAGAAGCAAAATGTTTTCAAAGAAAAACAACAAAAGAAAGTCTAATTGCTTTTTAAAAAAAGCATCTTTGGGACCCCTTGGTTAGGACTACCTTGAAGGACTGACTCTGAAGCCCCAGATAGTTTGGGAACCTTATATTCCTAGGCCAGTTACTCCTAAGGAACTTAAACTAATAGGAGAAAAAAACTAGCTTTTCAGGATCTGCACAAATGGGTGGAACTACACATGATCACCACAATGTAAAAAAGATGTTGAGACTCTAGAAAGAGTATAGAGAAGAGCAACAAAGATGATTAGGGGATTGGAGGCTAAAACATACAACAAATGGTTGCTGGAATTGGGTATGTCTAGTTTAACAAAGAGAAGGACGAGGGGGGACATGATAGCAGTGTTCCAATATCTCACGGGCTGCCACAAAGAAGAGGGGGATCAAGCTATTCTCCAAAGACCTGAAGGCAGGACAAGAAGTAACACATGGAAACTAATCAAGGAGAGAAACAACCTAGAATGAAGGAGAAACTTCCTGATAGTTAGAACAATTAACCAGTAGAACAACCTGCCTCCAGAAGCGGTGAATGCTCCAACACTGGAAGTTTTAAAGAAGAGACTGGACAGCCATTTGTCTGAAATGATATAGGGTTTCCTACCTGAGCAGGGGGTTGGACTAGATGACCTCCAAGGTCCCTTCCAACTTTATTATTACTATGGATCATCGCACAGTCAGCCAGATGTTCAGACTGGATTTGGCATTTTGTCTACCTATCGAGTCCTTACCCAGGACCTGGGATAGGCAGATGTGGATGTTTGATGGTATTACAGGTATCGTCGCAGGATGGAAGCAGTTCCTAGTAAGGCTGCCTTTTGCAATTGACTAATAGCGAATTTGTCAATGCCGATGATGGTTTTATTATTATTATTATTATTATTATTATCATTATCATTATTATTATTATTTACATACACATGCACATTAACCACATGTGTTCATTACACATGTTTATGCACAGAGATTGAATAGACTGTTTCTCAAGATTTCAGAACAAAAACATCTACCCACAAAATCAGGTACAATAATAGTGTTTGATGTCTGAAAAGATTGCTTACGATCACAATTGAGCCTAAAATTTCTGTTGCTAGGTGAAACAGTTGTTAAGTGAAATTTGCTCCATTTTACAACTTTTCCTGCCACAGTTGTTAAGTGAGTCACTAAGTTTTTAAGTTAGTGACATGGTTATTAAGTGAACTGGCTTCACATTGACTTGTCAGAAAGTTGCAAAAGGTGATCACATGTTATTCCCCCCTCCCCGAGGATACTGAAACCGTCATAAATATGAGGCAGTTGCCAAGAATCTCAATTCTGATCACATGACCATGGGATGCTGCAATGGTTGTAAGTGTGAAAAATGGTCATAAGTCGCTTTTTTCGGTGCCGTTGTAAATTTGAATGGTCATTAAACAAATGGGAGTAAATCTGGAATTATAACAACTCTTAAAATACTTCTCCCACCTCTTCTCATTTACATCCTTGGGGCGAGCCAACTAAGTCACAGGCATTTTATCACACTACATGGAGTCTAAGCTCTTGTAATTTATAGCCTGGAGAAATTGCTCTTGCTTAATTATAACAGGAAAACATGTATTCTAGAACAAGCTACACTTAGTTGCTAGAGAACATTTGGGGAAGAGGCGGAGGAAAAATGACCTTTTTATTAAAGGAATTAATTAAACTGACCTTCTTATTAATGGATTACAAAGGAATTATTGAGTCTGTCAGTTAGACCTCTATAACTGTCTAACTGCAACCAAACAAGACAGATACAGGCTTCAATGGGTAGTTAGGACTGCAGAAAAAAACAATCGCAACCAGCCTGCCTTCCACTGAGGACCTGTATACTGCACGAGCCAGAAAGAGGACTGTGAAAATATCTACAGACCCCTCACATCCTGGACATGAACTTCTTTCAATTTCTTTCCTCAAGATGACACTACAAGGCATTGCACACCAGAACAACCAGAAACAAGGACAATTCCCCCCCCCCATGCCATCACTCTGCTGAACAACTAATTCCCACAACACTGTCAAACTAGGCTGTATTACTATTATTCTTCTCATCTTTCCTATTACCTATCTCCTTATCTTCTTATGACTATAACTTTGTTGCTTGTATCTTACGATTTATATTAATTGCTTTATTTAGTATCCTAGTATGATTTATGTTGTTTACTTATTTAGTATCCTATGACTATCACTAAGTGTTGAATCTTATGATTTATGATGAATGTATTTTTATGATGACTATGATCATGATTTATCACTTGTTGCTTGTATGTACACTGAGAGCTTGTGCGCCAGAGACAATTTCCTTGTGTGTCCAATCACATTTGGCCTATAAAGAATTCTAAAAGCAAAAATAGAAAAAAAAACCCCAAAACAGGGAAAGCTGTTGTTGCTTATCCCATTAAGTCCAGCTACCGGGAGTTACAATCTTGATGAGAAAAAGAAAAGTATTCCCACCACCTAAATATGCTTTGCTACGTAGAGAAACAGCTTCGTTGTAAGATTAGATCTTCGACTGCTTACACCCAAGAGAAGTCATTTGCTGAAAACTGCACTAGATCCCAGGGCCTGGTGTTTAAGAGCAAAGCTGTTATGAGGCTGCATCATAACCAAGGAGTAATTTCAAGGAAGATTGCCTCTCTGGGACTGCCTTAGGCAGGTCTTGGAGAATAACATCTTTGAGAAAATCAATTGCTAGGCATTATTCCATGGTACATTTTAGATTGGCGGCTATGACAAACTTTTACAGGTGTAGAGAGCTGGTTAAAATGATCTCACCCTCAAGACCCTGATTGATTTGTAGAACAATGGAGACAATCCGTTTACACTATAACTTCCAAACATTTCTTTCTTCACAATTAGTCCCTTGGTTTACTGTGGAAGCTGAGAGTAATGAAGCAGTCAGGGCATCAGGGAAACAAAATGGAGAAGTTGTCAGGACAGATCAGAGTGAGCCCAGTTGAACGCTCATCTGGAGACCTACTTCAGAGCATTGATAAGAGAAAAGAGTGCTTATTTCTCTGACATCAATGCATCCACACCGAACAGCCATCACTCTTACATACTGTGAGGCATCTCCTTCACCAAGGTGTTGGAGGAGATGAGGATCTGGAACAATGGGTGGCTCATCATAAACCATTCTTTGCAGAGAAACTTGACTAGATTAAGTTTGACTTGTAATTCAGTATTGGGCAAATCGTAGGGATGTAGCTTCATTAATTATTTGTCTACTATTTTGAACTGTTTTCAGTTTGTAGACAACATGTGTGGAGAGATGAGGATTATTACCTGCCTACCTGCACCTTGTGCCTTCTAAATTGCAAATGAAAATTTCTAAATTGCAAATGGGAAGTGATCAATAGTCCTTACGGTGGAATACCTTAATTTCTCTCTCCAGTCTATAGAAAGTAGTGATACATATTTGATTGAAGTATTTAAGTACTTGATTGACAGGAAATATAATTGTATATGTTAGCCTCCTTCAATTTATAAGAAAGGTGGATGATTACAATCCTAGGTGACTGTAATCCCCTGAATTGATACAATGTATTGGGACTGAATTGCTTTCACCTAGGAGGAGAGAGGACTAGAAAACTACACAATATATATATGTAGGTCTTTCGTTATTTGGGTTTTCTCCCACATAAAATTGGAAGTGTCTTGGCAACGTTTCGATGAAGTCTCATTCGTCATCTTCAGGCTGGTCCTTTTGGCTTCGTGCTTCGAGGAGCAATGTGTGGTCTTAGCTGTTTCTTTCTTTTAACTGCCAGTGGGGGTATGAACTGATTGGGTGGGAACTTGGCTGTGTTCTGATTGGGTGGAGGTGTGCACACACACAGAAAACCCGAATAACCAAAGACCTACATACAAACACCCGTGAAAACCTCAGAAAACAAATATCGAACCTCTACGGGGAGGAAATCCACCATCTGACCAGGACCTATGAAAAACTTGAAGTCCAAAGAGCTTCCATTTTATGCGACCTCGCATTCCTACGCAACTGCCGAGATCAAAATCTAATCCCCACATGTTTCCAACTGAAATTCCACTCCAACTCTGCAGCCACCAAATGGATCCTGAAAAGAACAGAATTGGCCCTAATCAGAAATGAACTTCACACAAAAAGATTCCTCCTAGACCGAATTAACAAAGATCTCCTCACACTCCACCTCAAACTCAGCAACAAGATCCACCCTGCACTTTGGGACAAATCCAAACAACTCGCCATCTGGAGAGCCGAAACACAGACCACCCTCAAGACAGATACACACACCAACAAACT